TGAATTCACTTTACAAAGTAGACATGACTACTTAATAACAGAGCTGGGATCTAAACAGCAGTAACTAACATTAATGGAGAACTTAAAAATGTTCTTAGTGCTGTGTTATGAGCTTTGGTGGATGTCATTCCTTTAATCCTCACAACACCCTGTCAGGTAGTCTCATTTTGCAAGTATGGAAGCTGAGGCAGGGCAACATTAAGTAACTTACATAACTCATACAGTAATTTGTGCAGCTGGGAGATGGTCAGCTTCAGTCCCTGGCCATTTGCCCATTCTTTTCCACCCGGATTCTTCGCTGATAGGAAGAACCCACCTGTAGCCCTGAGGTTCTTTTCCCAGGACAGCTCCAGGGTAAGGATCATTGTAGGTGGTTGTGGAGTTGACATTCCTGTTGACTCCTTCCCAGCTGATTATCAGAGCCTTAGACCCAGCACTCCTTGGATTAGCTCTGCAGAGTGTCTTGGTTGAGATAATAACTTCACCGTATCCACATGACACGTGATTTGGAAAGAGACCAGAGGCCACACTTGATAAATCTTGGGGAACAGATGTGTGCCCACCCAACAAATGTGATAAGTGATCGACCAGCCAGAGCCAGCCTTCCTACAGTCAAGGTTTCCAGGCAGAGAAAATACCGTAAAGCTTCTCTGGGGAAATTTGGATGAAGGAACCTAGAAGAACTACAGGGATTTTTTTTTTTTTTTTTTTTTAAGACGGAGTCTTACTCTGTTGCCAGACTGGAGTGCAGTGATGCGATCTCGGCTCCCTGCAGCCTCCACCTCCCGGGTTCAAACAATTCTTCTGCCTCAGCCTCCCGAGTAGCTGGGACTACAGGTGCACGCCACCACGCCCAACTAATTTTTGTACTTTTAGTAGAGATGAAGTTCACTATGTTGGCCAGGATGGTCTCGATCTCTTGATGTCATGATCTGCCTGCCTCCCAAAGTGCTGGGATTGGCCTACAGGGATATTTTTAATCCTCTTATGGACTCTGTCTCCAGGAAAGGGGTCTATCCATCCCTGCTCACTGGTGGATGTTAAACCAATATTCCTTTCAAATGCAGCCTGCTAGGGAAAAACTACTTCTCATTAACATTATTATTATTGCTCACCACTGCATCCCCTCTACCTGACATGTGCTTGTCAAGTTCTAGTTGTTCAATAAATTTGTTAATAAGGCTTACTCTTCAACTTGGCTTTTTCTAGACTCTAATAAGTCTACTAGCACAGCAGAATAGTCCACACACCCACTGTACTCCCCACAGTTTTAGTTTACCTCATTGTAGTGTTTTCACAAAACCTTTATTATATGTGTTTTCTACTGCTGCTATGATGAATTAGCACAAATTCTTAGACTTAAAGCAACACAAATTTTTGGTTCTCAGTTCTATAGGTCAAAAGTCCAACAGGGATCTCCCCAGCCAAAATCAATGTGTCTGCATGCTGGATTCTTTTGTGGAGACTCTGGAGAACAATATGTTTTCTTGTTTATTCAAATTGCTGGCAGAATTCAATTCTTTGCAATTACAAGACAGAGGTCCCAGTTGCTTACTGATTTACAGTTGAAGTCTCCTCCCATCTCTAGAGGCTGCTGGTTTTCAGCTCACAGCTCCCTTCTTCAATCTTCAAAGCAGCAATTATGCATTGAGGACTTTCAATCTTTGAAGTTTTTCTGGTTCTTTTTCCATTGCATCTCTCTGATTCTTCTGCCTTCTACTTTGTAGAGCTCTTGTGATTCAATTAAGACCACCCACATAATTTAGAATAATCACTAAATTTTAAAGTCCATAACCTTAATTCTATAAGGTACATTCTGCCATGTTATATATCATTGTCACATGTTTCACAGTAAACATCACTAGGTGTGTATGGAGGGAGGAGCACTATTGAAGCTACCACTTATTTGGGAAATCATTGCAAGAAACACAAGGGAAGGAATAGTGAATCACAGAAGGGGAAAAGCCAGTTGTGTGAGGAATGGCATAAAGAGTTCATTAATGAGTTACCATATAGACAACTCGGCTTATCCCACCCGAGAACTGTAAGAAACTATATGAAATTGTCGGATATACATCAGAATCTTCCTAAAGCCTGGGGACCCTTGTACATTTATCAACACCTCCCATCTTCTTTTGCTTAAATTGGTTGAAAGTTGCCCCTGGGAATGTTAGTTCTGCTGTAGTTCAAGGTTGGGTTGTGCATCTGCAAAAAAAAAAAAAAAAAAAAAAAGCAAATACCACTGGTGTTAGAGAAAGCAGAGGAGAAACACAGATAACGGAGGCCGGATGTTGTTATCCTTGAAGGAAACTGTGTTCCTCCACTATTGCACTATTGGCAAATTGTTATAGGCCAAAAGAATATGGGACGGGACATCAACAGTATCTGTTCTAAGGGCTCCGCCTCTGAGAATATAGTGAATGCCTTTCAAGGTTCCACTGCCCTCCTTGCACCACATTCATTTAGCATTAGTGACCTCCTCTCTTCCAATACATGTCCATATAACATGGCCCTGCAGCCTCACCACATGGACTGGGTCTGGGATGGACACCCGACCCAGGCTAGGCCAGGGAACCTTCAAGTGACATGTGACTAGCTGTACCTGTAGCAGGAGTGCATGGGAGTTGTGGGAAGAACTCTTCCACTCACATTATGATCCAAAAGAGGAAAAGAAGGTGAACTGTGGAAACAGAAGACCAAAGCACATGTGCAGAGAGGAAGCTTCAAGATGGAAGGACTTTGGGCAATTTTCTCATCTTTTTTTCCCTTAGGGTCCCAGTATCATTCTAGTATGTTCTGGGAAATTTGTTCTCTTCAGATAAGGTATATGTATTGGCTAATATTGTTTTAATCTGGAAAATTACCAACTTACACAATCATGGCACTATCCTCATTGATTCAGTAATGCAAGAATCTGGAATTTGAAAGGGGCACAGTAGGAATGGTTTTTCTCTTCAACAAAAAGTCTGGGCCTCCCCTGGAAGGACTCCATAGCTAGAGGTTACTCAAAGGAAGAGACTTGCCCAAATTGCTGTCAAAACTTGAAACTCATTTGCAAATCAAAATAAATGTGTATACTACATCTGTTTCACCCCAAATAACCAAATATGAATGTTTAAATGCTTAGTCAACATTTTGAAATTTTAAATATTCATAATCCTGTGTGTATTTTATACTTACAGCTCATTTCAGTTGGAATGAGCTAGTGGGTAGGTGCCCTGTTGCACAGCTCAAGTTTACAGTACACTCAGGCACAGCACTAGATTGGGGAATGGAGGAAATTCTCCTCATGGGGCACAGGGTGGACAGAGGGTGCTCAGGGCAGGCTTCCCAGGGTTTCCTTCATGAAACAGAAGCAGATTTCATAGTTACTGCTCCCAGGGGTGCTGTCGACTAGCCACAGCTACTGGTCCGCAGAATTCTCAGCCCAAGAAGACCCTATGGCTGTGGAAAGAATATTTTTGTCCCTGCAATATCTGCTTCCTTTCCTGCCTTAGAGATGTGATGGCTGGTGTCTTTGTCTGATTCTGCCCCTGTGTTGAACAGCCAAGGTCACTGTTGTGGGGCACTGATCCCATCCTGGCCATGGTGGGAGAAAACACTACGTTACGCTGCCATCTGTCACCCGAGAAAAATGCTGAGGACATGGAGGTGCGGTGGTTCCGGTCTCAGTTCTTCCCCACAGTGTTTGTGTATAAGGGTGGGAGAGAGAGAACAGAGGAGCAGATGGAGGAGTACCGAGGGAGAACCATCTTTGTGAGCAAAGACATCAGCAGGGGCAGCGTGGCCCTGGTCATACACAACATCACAGTCCAGGAGAACGGCACCTACCGCTGTTTCTTCCAAGAAGGCAGGTCCTACGATGAGGCCAGCCTGCGCCTCGTGGTGGCAGGTGCGTCTCTTCATTTGCTTTGTTACTTTGGCACAGTATGACTTTTGGGGAAAGTATATCTCCTAACTTCTGGCCCATTGCAGACCAGCACAGTCCTCTTTCCTGGATCCCCTTTCCACAGAGACACTCTCCCTATGGAAAGAAGATTCCAGGGAAAAATCCTTCCTCCTGCACAAGGGCCACCATGAGTGAGCTTGCCCTGCTAAGCCGTGGGCTTGACTTCTTGAGAAGCACACGCAGAACTCATCTGAGGCCATGAGCAGGGGAAAATGGTGAATCTCAGAAGAGAAGTCTTATGCATGCCTTAGCACTGAGCTGTGCACTTCTGAGAGTGAGAGGAGACACCGTTAATAATTGTCCCAGGACAAACTGGAATAAACAACAACTGCCCAGAGAACTATGATATTTGAAATCTTATTTCTTGATAAATATTAATCCTGACTTCTTTCCTGAAACGCTGATTGCAAAGAGAGTGACTTATATGTAAATAGAGGGTTTTATTAAAGCCAGATTTAATACAGAAGCAATTTTTTTTTTGTTGTTGTTGTTGAGAAGTGGTCTCACTCTGCTGCCCAGGCTGGAGAGCAGTGGCAGGATCTCAGCTCGCTGCAGTCTTCACCTCCCAGGTTCAAGCAATTCTCCCTGCCTCAGCCTCCTGAGTAGGTGGGATTATAGGCATGCAGCACCACGCCTGGCATATTTTGTATTTTTAGTAGAGACAGGGTTTTGCCATGTTAACCAGGCTGGTCTCAAACTCCTGACCTCATGTGATCTGCCCATCTTGACCTCCCAAAGTGCTGTGATTACAGGTGTGAGCCACAGCGCCTAGCCCAGAGGCAAAATTATGTTCCTGCTGACTCCACAGAGAAAGTGCAAGAATTTATCTGGCAGGGAATACACAAGATTTAAACATAGAAATACATTTAAACTGGAATTTCTAGAAGTTTGCTAAAATGATATTAAGTGATTACTTCAGTCTTGGGGTTAGTTTATTGTGCTTTAAAATATATATTTGAGGACTGAAAAAGCCTTTCAGGTGCAGGATAATCTGTGGTGGCATTTCACTCCATCAGACCAGAGGAGGTGCAGATTAGGGAATTGGGTCTGTCCCAAGGGACCTCAAATCATAGCAAGTAGGAGACCCCATCTTTGCTACTCAGAATGGCAACTTTGTGTGTGATTAAAACAGAATATTGTGAAAGGAGACTTTCTTTACCCTGTGTCATGGCTGTGTTTGTAGCAGCACTGCAGGGTTGGCCAGTTATGGTTTCTACGTGGCAGCAATCTGCTCCTCCCTCTCTGTAAAACTGACACTGGCCTGGCCTTCTCCACTCTGAATTGGGCAGCTTAGGACTTCTTGTTTGTTTGTTTACTGTATTCTCTTTGTTAGGTTGGTTGGTGGCTGATTTTGCCTTTAACTCTATTTTGTCATACTTCCTGTATTGAACCTCATGGAATGTTTTGAAGAACTTTGTTTTCCAATTTGCTGAATTATTTTAATTCTTATTCCACTGAGCCTTTAAATGTACAAGTAGTTTTATCTCCTGATAAAAATTAAAGTGAGTCTGGGTGACATGCAAAAACCCATCTCTTTAAAAAATATATTAAAAAATTAGCCACGCATGGTGGCACATGCCTGTAGTCTTAGCTATTTGGGAAGCTGAGGTGGGAGGATCACCTGAACCCAGGAAGTTCAGGCTGTGGTGAACCACGATCATGCCACTGCACTCCTGCCCAGGCGATAGAGTGAGACTGTGTCAAAAAATATTAATAATACTTAAATTGAGCCACAACAATAGACTTAAGTTATTGGCTTAATTTCCTGTCTTTGCCATAATTTGGAGACTTTACAAAGGAATTATTCAGAAGAAGTTTGGATGTTCACGCATGGCTGAAGGATCCCCTAGGATCATGCAGCTCTTTCATACCTGGTATTCACTTTTACTGAAGATTCATTAAACATGGATTGTAGTTAGGGTAAGTCTAGATTCTTAGGATTTTTGGTGATGATCTCTGATATTAAAAAAGTGATATGGTTATCTTAATCCCAAGAGCATCCAGATCTTTCTAATAAATTGATGTTCTCAAAGCACTATAAGAAAATCGCCCCACCTGTGCAACACTCTGTCTCTACAATAGAATAAAATGTTAGCCAAGCATAGTGGAACATGCCTGTAATCCTAGCTAGTTGGGAGGCTAAAGTGGGAGGATCTCTTGAGCCCAGGACTACAGGGCGCAATGAGCTATGACTTTGCCACTGCACTCCAGCCTGGACAACAGAGCTAAAACCCTGTCTCTGAAAATCAAAAGAAAAGCAAGAGATGTTGCCTAACAGACGGAGCCTCTGGGAGGTAAACTGTGAATTAGGATTAGGGTTGACTTTGCAGGCTACCATGTTGAGGCTCCTAAAAACCATCACCTACTATGGGTGGGAGAGAGCAGTGTTTATGTGAAGCCCTAAACTAGACAGAAGGGTCAATGTCTTTAGGTCAAAAGGTTGCTTAGTATTCTGCCTGTCTGGTAGATTTCTGTCCTTCTACTTGTTATTTAAGAGCTTCTGGAAGCTGAGGTCTACTGAGAAGTCATCCTAGGACCAGAAAGTGAACTCCAAAACCTGCCTGTTTGAAGTTGGAGTTGACAAACCCACCTTAAGTGAGAAAATTAATCTTGCAGGATAAATTGAATAAGCATTTATAGCAGACACATAGATGCTTGGTGCTGCAATGGGGCCTGTAGGTGGACCACAAAGAAAAGGGTGCAATGGGATCCTTTCCTCTTAGAGAGCTCACAGTTTATGTGGCCCATTGGTCTCCTGGTGTTTTCTAACATCAACATTCTTTCTTCCTTACCCTCATCCTTTGTTTCTTCCTTCCTATTTCTTGCTTCTTACCTCCCTCTTTTTTTTCCTTTACTTTCTCTCTTCACAGAAGAGATGCAGTCAGCACTGAGACACCACTGCCTTTTAGCTGAGCCCTGGTATCTCTCCCCAGGACTGGACTCTGAGCCCCTCATTGAAATGAGGGGCCACGAGGACGGGGGCATCTGGCTGGAGTGCATATCTGGAGGGTGGTACCTGAAGCCCCTCACGGTGTGGAGGGACCCCTACAGTGAGGTCGTGCCTGCCCTGAAGGAGATCTCCACCCCTGACACAGAAGGGCTCTTCATAGTCACCACAGCTGTGATTACCAGAGACAAGTTGGTGAGGAACGTGTCCTGCTCTATCAATGATACCCTGTTCGGCCAGAAGAAAGAAAGTGTCATTTTTATTCCAGGTTAGTTCTCTGCTCTCTGAGACTCATCAAGTGCATGGGGATCCTAGCACACAGATGGAGCCCAGAGCGGGGATGGGGGCAGCAGTGTGGGTAGAATGGTCCTGACCCCTGTGAAGCTGGAGGCTGCAGCTGATATGAAGCTTCTCTAATCCCTTTTCACAAAAGGAGAATCAAAGAGTCCCAAAACTCAAGAGTAGGAGCCTCTTCTCTGAGGGTCAACCTAGTCTTTTTTTTTTTCCTGCAAGGTCCTTATGATGTAGCAATTTTTAAACATTGAAAATAACCATTACACATGGAGGGAGAGTGGTGTAGATAGGTGACTCTCTACACTTGGTGCTCCTGTATGTTGCAGCCATCCCTTTCTGCCCAAGGGATTTTCCAAGGGACAGAGCTGGGAAAAATCCTTATTGATACACACTCATAATTCATTCAACAAATGCTCAAGAAGCATATCGTATATTCAAGACACTGTTCTAGAAACCAAGGGTAAATCATCGAACAAAATATATCAAGATCTCTTCCCTCAAAAAGTGATTAAATAATTGACTATATATTCCATCAGATGGTGATGAACTTCTATAGGAAACATTAAGCAAGGAAGAAATAAAGAGGCAGTGTGAGACATTGCAATTCTTAACAGAATGGTCAGGGAAGACTTCACTGTAAAGATGGGAATTGAGCCATCCCGTCTGATGGTAAGGGACCATCAGATGCTTAAGGACTGAGCAGCCAGCTACAGGAAAAGCATATGCAAAGGGCCTGGGGAAGGAACATCACTGGCAGTTTCCAGGACCCCCAGAAGGCGATGCTGGTGTGGCTGAAATGGAGTGAGTGCAGGAAGAGAAAGGAGATTAATTCACAGAGACAATGAAAACACATTCTACATGGCATCATAAACCACAAACAGTCTTTGGTTTTTAGGGAGAGTGACAAGGAAAGCATTGGAAGGTTTTGAGCTAAGAATTAACATGATTACACTTGGGATGGTCTGTTGAGAATAGACTACAAAAGATAAGGGCAGAATAAGAAGGAGGGCACTGCAGTATTCCAGGTGTGAGGGATGGTGGCTTGAGACAAGGTGGTGGCTGTGCTGACTCAGCATGGCTGGTTAGCTTTATGCACCCTGGTCCTTCCCATGGTGACTGCAGATGTTTCTGCTTTGCTACCTCTGGGCCTTGGCCCTGGAAGCCACTGAGGTGTCAACCAGGGCTAAGCCAGCATCACTTTCTCCATCTGAGTTTTCTGAGGGAGAAACTAACAAAGCAGGTGGCTGAGGAGCTCTTGAGATGTGTTCCTAGGGGCGCTCTCATCTGGATGTTCTGTTTCAAAGTAAGTGGACATTTCTGGCTGCCTTTTCAGAATCCTTCATGCCCAGCAGGTCTCCCTGTGTGGTGATCCTGCCTGTTATCATGACTATTCTGATGATATTCATTGCCGTATGCATCTACTGGATCAACAAACTCCAAAAGGAAAAAAAGATTTGTCAGGAAAAAGAGTTTGAACAGGAAAGGAAAGAAACTGCGCTAAAGGAACTGGAGAAAGAATATGTGGAAAAAGAGAAAGAACTTCAAATCCAAGGTAAACGAGGCCAGGTATAGTGGCTCAAGCCTTGAATCCCAACACTGTGGGAGGCTGAGGCATGCGGATGACTTGAGCCCAGGAGGTCGAGGCCAACCTGGGTAATACAGTGAGACCTTATCTCTAATTTAAAAAAAAAAAAAGGTAAAAGAGTAGGAGAACAGTTCACCACTGTACAAAGGACACCACTCTCCCAGGTACCAGCGTACGGAAGAGACAGGAAATGCACCGCAGCAGCAACAAAGACTTGGAACTCTCATGTCCTTGGGATGAATCTCAGAGCTTTCGTTCTTTCATTCTGCCCGCATTGCACTCATTCGCCTGGCTATGTAAAGTACTAAATGGTTGAGCAAAAACAAGTGTAACAATGTACCGGTACTACCCAGCCACCTAATCATATATCATTTCTGGTTTCTGACAGTGCCCTAGGCATGAGGGAAGGGAGATGCTGTTCGTAGAAAGGATGATTCCTGCATGGTTTACTATAAACCCAAATTCTTTTAGTTCTTCTATTGAAGACATGATTTTGTTTCTGTTTCTCAGAGCAACTTCAAGAAGAATTGCGTAAGTTTACCCTTTCCTGAACTACTCCTTGTACAATTTGAGTTCTGCTCAGTTAGCAACATCTCATGACATTCACCTCTGTCTGTCCCTTGCAGGATGGAGAAGAATATTCTTACATGCTAGTGAGTGCCCCTGATATTCCCTCAGATCTCAGCTTTCTCCTGCTAGCCAGCTAACAGGACTCCTTAGAGGAGATGAGCAAGGGGCCCAGGGCTAGGCAGGTACAGCAGGGAACTGGGGTCAGTTCATCAACAGTGTCCCAGCAATGATGCATCATGGCTCTTCTGTCAGGGAATCCCGGCAGCTCTCAGTCCACCCTGTGATTTACATCCTAGGATCCTTTCTCTTTTGGAATAATTTAATACATGATGACCAGAGGTTTCCGTATATAGTAGCCTCCCCAAGATTTATGCTTCAGTGATTTTTGCTCTTTGATTCTGGATCAATTTGAAAGAAGACAATGCTGTCTTAGCAATTTATATACTAGGGATAGTGTAGACTGTGCATAGTTGAAGGCCCATGTGGGGAAGAGGCTATAAAGGGTCCCAATCAGCCTGACAGAATGGTATACAAATAAGTGGCCAGAGATGCCTTTCTGCTCCTAAAAGAGCACTGATACTTTGTGTATAGCCTGCCAGGGGAGGGAGTTCGGGTGAGTGGGAGAGCACAGAACCAATTGCCTACTCCCAATGAGCACTTCCCAACTTATGATTCAGCCCCTCTGTCCATAAGCACCACAGAATCCAAGCTTTACCAGATACCATGGCACACGGACCTTTCCTCTTCAGGTGAATTTCAAAATTGCCACTGTCAACTTGGGACAAAATAGCAAATTGTCACAACCAGACATATTAACTTGGGGAATGGAGGAAATCATTTTAACACAATAGAAAGGTAGATCTTAGAATGCTAAAAATGTGAATGATTAATTGGGGCTCATTTCCTAAACTCTCTGGATTTCATAAAGCCTCAGTTCTTCTCAACCTGAGGGTACTGCTTCTGTCTCTGGAGAGACAGAAGTGCAGCTTCAGAGGCCAGGATGATGGCTTACACCTATAATCCTGGCAGTTTGTGGGGCACAGGCAGGAGGATCAACTGAGGTTGGGAGTTCGAGACCAGCCTGACCAACATGGAGAGAAACCCTGTTTGTACTAAAAAGATAAAATTAGCCAGGCATGGTGGCCCATGTCTGTAATACCAGCTACTTGGGGGACTGAGGCAGAAGAATAACTTGAACTCGGGAGGTAGAGGTTGCGGTGAGCCAAGATCACACCATTGCACTCAGGCCTGGGCAACAAGAGCAAAGCTCCGTCTCAAAAGAAAAAAAAAAGAAAAAAAAAGTGCAGCTTCAGGAATTCTTGGGTATGAGCTGCCTGGGATCAGAGGGCCTTCAGGGAAATGGCCCCTACGTGGGAATCCCACAGCAGCTTTCCGAGACCTCTCTGGGGACCAGGAACCACACAGAGTTCCTGAGACTTCCTCTGCAGCCAGTGTGGTCCTGGACCCAGACACTGCTTATCCCGATCTCTTCGTGTCAGAGGACAAGAGGAGTGTGACATTGGAACCCTCCAGGGAGAGCATGCCGGACAACCCAGTGAGATTCGACAGTTAGCTTTGTGTCCTAGGCCAGGAGAGCTTCGCCTCAGGGAAACATCACTTGGAGGTAGAGGTGGAAAACGTGATTGAGTGGACTGTGGGGATCTGTAGAGACAATGTTGAGGAAATGGGAGGTCCCGCTGCTTTCTCAGAATGACTTCTGGACCTTGGAGACGCATAAAAGGAAATACTGGGCCCTGACCTCGCCTAAGTGGATTCTCTCTCTGGAGGAGCCCCTTTGCCAGGTGGGCGTCTTCCTGGACTCTGAAGCTGGAGATGTCTCCTTCTACAACATGAGAAACAGATCACACATCTACACATTTCCCCATTCAGCCTTTTCTGTGCCCGTGAGGCCCTTGTTCAGCTTAGGCCCTTGACAGCTGCATCTTAATCTGCTCTGCATTCACAGGAGCCAGTGGGGTCCCGGTGCCTGAAGAGGGCCGGACACTTCACAGAGCAGAGACCCACCACAACCCACAGAATCAGTTCCCTGTCTCACAGCCATGGAGATAAGCCCTGGCCGTCTCGGCAGCCACTGCACAACGCCCCTGGTGGAAGACACGCCCTCCTCCCCTCTGGTCACACAGGAGAACCTCTTCCAGCTGCCTCTTTCACACCCACTCCAGACCTCAGCCCCTGTTCACCTCCTCATTAGGTGTGGCTTTAGTAGTTCCTTTCGTTGTAACTATGGGAGGGGAACAACTAGTTGTTCCAAGGCTCCCAGCCAGGAAGAAAGTGTGAGAAGCTGATTGGTAGCGAACCTGCTGTTTAACATCAGGGTGGCCTCATTGAGCCCAGCATGCCAGTTGGCACCGGATGCTGTGGACTTGGAATGAGGCCAAGAGGAGTTGCCAGGATGTGAGAGGAGGGAGGAATCCACAGGACCACCAGAGGGAGAGGGAACCAGATATGCAGGTCAGAGATAGAGGACGTGGAATCAGAGAGCTGGGAGGGACCAAGGTTGTAAGGATAGCTAAGTCCCACCATGACAGCTAAGGGGTCCCAGGAGATGATGGCTCATTTCCACCCAACCCCATGATTTCCAGAGCACACACCCACAGGCCTGGACCTGGGATGAAGACGAATGAAGAACATGGACATGTGGATGTGGTTTGGCTCACGTGTCCCCACAATAAACAAGGAGTCAGTACTCAGTCCTTGGGTGTGGTTGAGGCTTGAGGTCCTGGTTGAGCAGGGTGGTACTGGATCAGGTCTGCGACAGCATTCAAGTTAAATGGGGGCACCGGTGACTTCAAACTTCC